ATCTAGACTAAGAAAAAAAAAAAGTAAGACTCAAATAAAACCAGAAATGAAAGAGAAGACATTACAATTTATACCACAGAAATATAAAAAATCATGAGACTACTATGAACAATTATACACCAAGAAACTGGATAATCTAGAAGAAATAGATAAATTCCTAGACATATAAAACCCAGACCGAATCATAACAAAATAAAAATTGTGAACAGGTAATGAATAAGGAGATTAAATAAACAATAAAAAATCTTCCACCTATGAAAAGGTCAGGATCTGATGGTGTCACTGTTCCTACCAAACATTTAAAGAAGAATTAATAAAAATCCTCAAATTCTTCCAAAAAACAAAAAGCATTTCACAAAATTCAACATCATTTCATGATTTTAAAACATTCAACAAATTAGCTATATAAGAGATGTGCCTTAAAATAAAAAAGGCCTTATACGACCAACAGACAAATAACATCATACTCAATGGTGAAAAGTTGAGCACTTTTCCTCTAAAATAAGAAAGAAGACATGGATGTCCACCCTCACTACTTCTGTTAAACATACTACTGGAAGTCCTAGCCAGAGTAATTAGGCATGAGAAAGAAATACAAGGCATCTAAGTTGGAAAGGAAGAAGTTAAATTGTCTGTTTGTAAGTAACATGATCTTATATATAGAAAACCTTCCAGATGCAATGAAGAAAAAAAAAAACAAACTTAGAACCAGTAAGTGAATTCAATTAAGTAGCAAGATACAAACTCAACATATACAAAGTAGTAGCATTTCTACATACTAACAAACTATCTGAAAAAAATATCAAGAACATGATTCCATTTACAATAGCTAAAAAAATATTTGGGAGCAAATTTAATGTTGAAGTGAAAGACATGTACACTAAAAACTATAAAACACTGATGAAAGAAAGTGAAGAAAATACAAAGAAGTGGAAAGATATCCCATGTTCACGGATTGGGAAAATATTGTTGGATGTCCATACTACCCAAGGCAATCTACAGATTTAATGCAATCTCTATCAAAATTCCAATGAAATTTTTCACAGAAATTAAGAAAAAAACTAAAGTTTCCATGGGAGCAAAAAGACCCTGATTAGCTAAAGCAATCTTCAGCAAAAATAACAAAGCCGAAGGCATCATATTACCTGAAGTCAAAATAAACTACAAAGCTATACTAATCAAAACAGCATGGTATTGGCAGAAAAATAGGGACATAGGCCATTAAAAGGAAATAGAGAGCCTAGAAATAAATCCACACATTTACAATAAACTGGTTTTCAATAAAGATATTAAGAACACACAATAAGAAAAGGACAGAATCTTCAACAAATAGTGTCAGTGAAACTGGATACCTGCATGCAGAAGAAAAAAAGTTGACTCTTATCTCACAATACATATATATAAATATAAATCTATTCAAGATAGATTAAAAAATTAAACCTAAGACATAAAACTGTAAAACTACTAGAAGAAAACATGTGGGGAAATCTCCATGACATTGGTAAACACAAAATTAGACAAATGGGATTACATCAAACTAAAAATCTTCTACACAGCAAAAGAAATCATCAACAGAGTGAAGAGGCAATGTATGGAATGGGAAAATATATTTACAAACCAGGCATTTGAGAAGGGGTTAACATCCAAAATATATAAGAAACTCAAACAATGCAATAGCAAGGAAACAAATAACCTGATTTTAAAATGGGCAAATGACTGGAATAGACATTTCTCAAAAGGAGATGAACAAGTGGTCCACAAGCATATGAAAAAATGTCTAACATCACTAATCATTAGAGAAATGCAAATTAAAACCACAATGAAAACATCATCCCATATCTGCTAGAATAGCTATTATTAAAAAAGGCAAATGATAACAAGTGTTGGCAAGGATGTGGAGAATAGGGAACCCTTCTACATATTACATTCCCATAGGTGGGAATGTAAATTACTATGGCCATGATGGAAAGCAATATGGAGGTTCCTCAAAAAAAATTAAAATAGGATCCAAGATGGCCGTTTAGGAACAGCTCAGGATTGCAGCGCCCAGTGAAAGCACAGAGGGTGAGTGGACGCTGCATTTTTATTGCCCACAGACTAGGAAATTCCCAGGTGGAGGAGCTCGACAGGCGCCAGCGCGGCTGTTTCGGCTAGCACGGCTGTGCTGGCCGGCGCCGCTGCTTTGCCCCGTGCGGCTGCTTTGTCGGCGCCCCAAGCCGCAGTTCTCCGTACAAAATACACCGGTCCGGGGGCCCTTTTGGCTGGCGATTGGAGCCACGGGAAGTCACCCAT